AGCTGGAAGGGTGAGCTGCTTCTGTTGGAGAAGCTGTGCCTGGAGAGTAGTGGTCATGGGCAGGAGCATCAGCAACAAATCTCATAGCAAAGTGAGGGGGAGGAAGGAAGGGGGAACTAAGCTGATCCAGGGATGGATTTAAGTAGATATTAATATATAACTCAATGTACCTCAACGAAGATCTAAGTATTATAATTAGTTATATTACACTGTTATGCTAATGGATACTGGGGTGTTTTAAAAGGGTGTATAACACAGAAGGGTTAGAAATTTAAAAGAAATACTTAGATTTGTGTGTAGTTCAGCCCTTCTTATACTTTCAAGAAAAGATTATGCACAAAAGTTAGTTACTTAAACTCTATAGTAGGGAACTGTTCCTATGGTGGCTGCCAGTCTCTGGGAAATCCTGGACTCCAGTCCTTCGGGAGACTTTAAGCTCAACATAAGCCACCAGTGTGCACTTAAGACCAGACCCCCCCCCATGTGCTTGGTTGCAATCTCAGAGGTTGAGGGGAGGGGATTCTGCCCTTTGCTGTGCTATGGGGAGAGCCCCCCTGCAGTCCTGATCCAGCTCTGGGGCAGCAGCACAAGAGGGACGTGGAGCTGTTGGAGAGAGGTCAGAGGAGGCCATGGAGATGCTGCGAGGGCTGGAACAGCTCTGCTCTGGAGCCAGGCTGAGAGAGCTGGGCTGGGTCAGCCTGGAGAAGAGAAGGCTCCTGAAGGGGAGACCTTAGAGCAGCTCCAGTGCCTAAAGGGGCTGCAGGAAACCTGGAGAGGGGCTTGGGACAAGGGCCTGTAGGGACAGGACAAGGGGAATGGCTTGAACCTGCCAGAGGGGAGACTGAGCTGAGCTCTTAGACAGAAGCTCTTCCCTGTGAGGGTGCTGAGGCACTGGCACAGGGTGCCCAGAGAAGCTGTGGCTGCCCCATCCCTGGCAGTGTTCAAGGCCAGGTTGGACACAGGGGCTTGGAGCAAGCTGCTCTAGTGGAAGGGGTCCCTGCCCGTGGCAGGGTTTGGAACTGGATGAGCTTTAAGGTCCCTTCAACCTCAAACCAGTCTGGGATTACAGAAGAACCACTCTGTCTGCTCCACTCACTGTCATGGCTGGGCTTGATGACACATTTTTAACTCTGTACTTAAATCCTTCAGGAAGTCTTTGATTGCCCTTGCAGCAAATCCACAGTGCTGTGGCTTCAGCAGCACAGCTGGAGCCAGCCAGGATGGGACTAGTCAGGTACCTGATCCCCTGGCTGGTGAACAGCATTCAGTGAACTGCTGGTGTAAAACTGATGTTAAATCAGACCACTTTGGCTGGTGGCATAGCTTGGGAGCTCTGTGCTGGGCTTGAGCTGGTGTGTGCTGCCTTGTTTCAGAGGCCTGCCTGGAAGGTCTGCTTCTGGAGAGCCACAGCATGCTGTTCCCCAGGTTTCTCAGTTTGTGATTCAAGACTTGGATGCGTTACTGCAAACTTCTGAGAAATGACTGTGTGGAGCTTGGTGTTTGTACCAGTTTGGTTGCTGCACTGGGGTGTAGAGAAGTTCTGACGCTGGTCCTTTTGTTTTCCCAGTAATCAGTACTTACTCTGTCATCTCTTAATGCCAGGAATGTGTGATGGTTCCTAACCCCAGCAACCACTGGTTAGGTTGGCCTCTTCTCTTTTAATTGATGCCATTTCCAGCTGGGCTTTTGCAACCTTCCATTCTTGCTAGAGAGTATGTGACTTCTCAAGCTTTGTATGCAAGATTTCAGCTATTTTATCCAGAGCTATTTAGTGAATGAAGAAAATGTGTGAGAAATCAGTGCTGAAGCAAAGAATTCTAGCGGGAAAGGGGCCCCCAAAGACCCAGAGATAATTTTGGTGACTGTTCAATAATGTCTGCCCAAAAAGAGCAAGAGGGAAACCCACTTAGCATCTAGTGAACAGTTTTCATGTATATGCTGTTCCAGAAATCGGGGGATGCATTTTTTAACCAAAATGGTTGTAAAGACAGACAGCTCCACACAATCCAGTTGAATTTTAATCCCTCCACAGAATCTAAAATCTTTGCGTTGGCAGATGCCACCACGCCACAATGGAAATATTCAGAGCCAGGCTAGCCTCATAAATACTGAACAGGGACCACAAGCTGGAGCTTGCAAGGCAACCAAAGACATGTATTAAGTAAGAGAAAGAAAACTTTGTTTTGAAAGCAGTTAAAGGAAGATGAGAGCGAGGAAACGTTTGCTTCATTCTGTCAGAATTTCACTTCTGAAAGGTTTCTGCAGATCAGCACAAGTGGCTGCCTTGGAGTCCAGCACAGGGAGAGAAGACCTGCTGGTACAGAGATGGGAATGGAGATGGATCCTGCCCAAAGCAAGAAGCAAACATGTGATTAACAATTGCAGTATTAAATCCAGGGCAAGCTTTTACTACTGGTAAAGAGCTTTTGGCTGTTTCTGAGAGCACTTGGATGCTGAATTCTCCATTGTGCTACTGGAAGCAGAGATTGCAGCCCATGCACGTCATCTTTGCCTGTGGTATCTTGCACATCAGTTGAAGCTGGAGAGTTGGATTCTTTCCCTGGCATTTTGCTGCACATTCTTTGCACTTTACCCAGCAATGAATCCAGTTTCTGCTGCTTGTGGGGCTGTGTGCTTCTGCCACACCTGAAATGGGCAGTGCTGGAGCTCCTCTTCATCTCTGTGCTGGGTGTTACAAGGAGAGATGGAAATTTGTGACCTCAAAGGAGCTGACCCATTGCCCACAGGACAAACAGTGAGAAGCCCTTTGATTTCTGGGTTTGCCCTGCCTCTGAATGGCCTCCTCAGGTGGAACTGTGTCATTCTCCAGTAGTGATCACTCTCATTCAGATGTCAGAGCAGCCAAGAGTTAAAAACTGGAGAGTTTTATGTCCCAGGTTTGCTTATGCTGCTTCAGTCGGCCCCTGTAGCAAGAAAACCTGATACTTCAAGAGCCTTGAAGTTCTCATCAGGAAAAGAACCTTAGCTATCTGGGAAGCTTAGAGGAAGGGTGAGGACCTAACATTGACAGTTTGAGGTTTCATGTGTTTGCCCCAGTTTTCTGGTCTTCCTGTATGGTGTCTAGCAAGCAAAGAAAAGGGGTAAATTCTCAGCCAGAAACTGGAGTATATTTGCATATAATTGTCTAATACGGAATGCAGTGACCTTTTAGAATTGTACACAGAGGTGTATCTGAGGAGGATGTCTTGACTGAAACAATAAGAAGAAAGCTTTCCTGACTGTTAACTATTAACAGTGAACATCTAGGGAGGCTGAAGGGAAACAATGCAAGTTAGAAGCATGACAGGTTGAAGGAAGAGATCCTGCCCTTCTACTCTGCACTCATGAGACTCCACTTGCAGCACTGTGTGCAGTTCTGGTGTCCTCAACATAAAAAGGACATGGAGCTGTTGGAGCAAGTCCTGAGGAGGCCACGAGGGTGATCAGGGGCTGAAGCACCTCCTGTATAGAGACAGGCTGAGAAAGTTGGGGCTGTTCATTCTGGAGAAGAGAAGCTGTGTGGAGACCTCACAGCATATTCCAGTGTTTGAATGGGGCTACAAGGATGCCAGAGAGGGACTCTTCATCAGGGACTGCAGTGATAGGACAACGGGTGACGGGTTTGAACTGACACAGGGGAAGTTCAGGTTAGATCTAAGGAAGAAGTTTACTGTGAGGTGTTGAGGCACTGGCAGAGGGTGCCTAGAGAAGTGGTAAATGCTCCATTCCTAGCAGTGCTCAAGGTGAGGTTGTACAGAGCCTTGGGTTACATGGCAGGGGGTTGGAACTGGGTGATCCTAAGGTCCTTTCCAACTCAAACCGTTCTACGAAGTTAGCCACAGAAGGCTGGGGGTGAGTTACCCAGAATGAGAGCAGCTTAGATATTTAGGCCTGGAGTAAAAGAAGCTCCACAACTGTCGCATTGAGATGCAGTCTGGCTGACCGGAGGGTTGCAGTTTCCTGTGGGTTTGTTTGTTATTTGGTGGGCATATAAAAATTACGTCACACCAGCCAGAAATCCTGCTCTTGTTACCTGTCTGAGCTTTCTGTACAAGGGCAAAGCCCTCTTCTGGGGTTGGCCTAGTTACCTCTGAGGTACTGTTAAGGAAGGGAGTTAAATGCGGGTCAGCATTGGCTGCATGGTGAACTTTAATGAAGAGCTCCTCCTCCACAGCATCTGCTGACAGTAACCTGCAGGAAGTGGTCAAGTTTTCAAACGGCATTTGTGGGTTCTAAGCAGAACATTTATTAGCTTTGTGCTGCTGTTATTTTTTTTCTTCCTACGTTTAAAACATAGTGGTGAATGTTTATTTTTTTAATATATATTTTGGGGAGAAGGGGCAAAATTGGAGAAAGTTTGCACAAATGTAGTAACAAGTACAAAGGGTGGTTGCAGGCTGCTTCCCAGAGGGTTCTGCTGATTTGGTTGTTGGTCTTTGTTTATAACCAGACCACAGAGGAATCCTTTACTGGATCTTTGGTATGTTCTTCTGGAGCCTGCTTGTAAATCTTCATGTTCTGGGCCATTGCTATGGCCAATAATGGCTTCAGGGATTCAGCTGAATGTGATGAGTAATAAAGCCTTTCAATCTTCAGTGTTCTGTCCATCTTAGAGTATCTTGATAGCATCAAGGGCACCCATTTTCTCTTCCACTGACCTGTCAAGTGGAGTTCTACCAATGGAGTTAATCAGACACTAATGTGTTCCCATTTTAAAACCTATGATCAATATAAAAATATGGCATGAGATGAAATACTCTCAATGATAACATCTGCTTTAAGCTCCTTCCTGCTCAAAATACTTAGATCATCTGTAAAATTTTTGCAGCTATCAGTCCTGAATAAATGCTGCATGGAAAAAGGTACTGGATTTGTAATGGTACTCTGTACAATAAATTACTTTGTGTGATGTTCTGATGCTGACGTTTTGGGGAGGTGTTAAGGTGGTTTTCCTGGTTATGAAGCATTCAACACATGGAAATTCTATTATTTTGTTGCAGATCACAGAGGCCTTGTTAAAGGAAAGAGATAAACAAGCAAAATGGAGTGGGATTCCCTTGCTGCTGCAGAAGCTGTATCAACAGAGCCACCCAAACAGTGATTTCTCCCAGTGCCAAAGCATCTTAAAGGTACTGTCTACACTGTTCTTCCTGAAAGCTAGGGATTATTTTGTTGATCAGTCAGTAGATCACACGGGTAGTTGGAGACATTTGTGTTATACTGATGAACAGTTTTTAATTTGAACCTTCTTTTGCATACAGGAAATTTCCCCACTTCTTTCAATGGAAGCAGTGGCATCTGTTACAGAAGATAAAAAAGCTGCTCAAGAGTCCACTTTCCCAAATACATACACATTTGACTTATTTGGAGGAGTTGATGTAAGTTTTTTTTCAACAATATCAAAAGATTTCTCTATGATAGTTGTACCACTGAGAAATCTGTGAGGTCCTTGAGACCTTTGAAGCTTCTAGATAGAAGCTACAAAATGACTTTGCCAATTTGATGTTAAACGTTAGAATTGTGCCTGTTTCTGTTAATCAAAATGTGAAAAGGGTGTATTTTCTGAGGTGTTCCATCATCAAAAGTGAGGTGATATAGAAGACTTGGCTGTTTCTTCAGGCAGTCTGGTTTTAAGGTGGAAAAGGTGAGACCTCTATGTTCTCAGTGTAAACAGTTTCAAGTGTTTTCTAGTTGTGAGATTACTACAGTTGCTGTGAGAGCACTGAGCTTTTCCCTTAGCACTGAAGGATGTGTGGTGGTTCTTTAAGCACACTAGTGCACTCCTTTAGCCAGGTTGTCTGTGTTTATAGCTGCTATGTAATAAGGACTGCTTCCATGATGGAAAGGTTTTTAAACAGACCTCCAAGGTTTCTGGAGACATTTATCTTTATTCAATATTACACAATACCCATTTGCTCAATTGAATGGTGACAGACTCTGGGATTTTAGCTGTCATTAGACATGTATGATTTGTGTTTTCTGGTAAATGAATTCATAGAATAGTTAGGGTTGGAAAGGACTTTAAGATCAAGTTCCAACCCCCCTGCCATGGGCAGGGGCACCTCACACTAAATTGATGCCCCCTTTTTAGTTTTTTCAGTCTAACTGAACATTGTCTTTGCTAATTCTCTCGTAGCGTGCCTTTACTTAAGTAAAACTCGTATTTAGGTTATGTTGTTTTGAAATCAGTACTGGTTTAGTCACTAGTATCCTCTCAGCTGGTTTTGGTTTGGTTTTTTTAGCTTGGGCTGGAGATGGTAAATATCAGCTACGCTTTAATTACCTGGTACTATGGCCAGAGACTTGGCTGACACCAGTGGGTTTAATGTGGTTAAAGGCAGCTGTAGAAGCCTGCTCTATGTGTTTTTAAAAGAGAAGAAGTGTAATCTGCTGGTTCTGCGTATGCCATGTGCTGACTCCACACTGCAGTTGCACTTTGAGCTTTGAAGCACAAGTAACTTTGAAGGACACTAAATCTGCAGTGTGCTCTGTATGTGTAATGTGTGACAGGAGACTCCTTAAGTTATTTTGGATTTTGATAGCCTTTACATTAAGAAAGAGCTAAAGCAGGTTTTTGTGTCCTGCCTTTATATCAATACATACAAAATATTACCCAAAAGCACACATTAACTGATAGAGGAACATAATGGACCTTTGATCTGAATGCAACCACATTCCAAGAAATAAGATCTTGTAACTCCCTTTCTGCTCCTTCTGCCTCTGGTGAGGCCCTGGTGCAGGTTGCCGAGAGAAGCTGTGGGTGCCCCATCCCTGGCAATGTTCAAGGTTGGACAGGGTCTTGTGTGACATGGTTTAGTGGAAGGTGTCCATGGCAGGAGGTTGAATCTGGATGATCTTAAGGTCCTTTCCAATCCAAACCAGTCTGGGATTCTATAAAATGTATATTCCTCTTTTGTTGTGGTTTAAACCCAGCCAGTATCTCAGAATCTCACAGCCACTCACTCACTTTCCCCTTTCCCCCCCCCCACCAGGGCAGAGCAGAGAGAAGAATCAAATGAATATTGAGATATGAACAGTTTAATAAGTAAAATAAAGTAAAATATCCTGATAATAGAAAGAATACCAACAACAATAATAAGAAACAACAAGAGAAGAAATGAAAGCTCAGAACACAAGTGCTGCACAATACAGTTGCTCAGCACCCACTGACCAATACCCAGCCTGACCCAAGCAGTGATCTGGGCCTTCCACGTAACTCCCCCTAGTTTGTATACTGGGCATGATGTGCTGTGGTATGGAATACCCTTTGGCTAGTTTCGGTCAGGTGTCCTGTCTCTGCTTCCTCCTGGCTTCTTGTGCCCCTCCTCACTGGGAGAGCATGAGAGAATGAAAAGTCCTTGATCAAGGCAAGTACTACTGAGCAGCAATTGAAACATCAGTGTGTTATCAGCATTGTGCTCAGAGTGAAGCCAAAACACAGCATTGCACCAGCTACTGGAAAGAAAAACAACTGTTACAGCTGAACCCAGGACATTCTTAAAGTTGCCTGTTTACTTATCAGTGGTTAAAATGGGCAGTGCCTCCAGTGCTGTTGGATGTGTGCCTCTGTGTCTGGGTAGATGGTTCATTAAAAGACCAAGTTAAATTGGGACAAGTAGAGAGAGGAGGTTGTAAAATAAAAGTATATTCCTAGTTGGCATGACTCAACCAGGTGATGCCTACGTTGCACTTAATGATTTTAAACTGAACTTTAAAGTTAGGGGCTTTTTGCAGTGCTTCCTGCAGAAGTCATCAGTTCCTTCCAGTGATAAACTCATTTTAAAATAAACTGCTAGAACAGCTGAAGGTCAGTTCTGCATCTGACTATCTGAACATCTATCAGAGCCATAGCCCTAGTCTTGGGAAGTTGACTGTTACATTCCTGACACAGAAATGAAGACAACACTTCACCTGTGTGTGTAAACGTGCATGTTCAGCACACACAATGTGCAGGCACAGAAGCAGTGGCTTGCTCTTTGGTGGTGAGTTTAAAATCTGGAGCAACTAAGTTCAGTTATATCTGGACCAGGAATGTGTTCTGAAGCCCAGCAACAGTTAGGGATGCTAAATTTGCATCTCTTGCAGGTAATTGCTAAAGGCTTACTATTCTGGGAGATGTGTGACAGCCGTCTTTGATGTTATCTGGATGCATGTGAAGTTACACTCTTTAAAGGCTCAAATGCTTTAAAACTCGCCAGTGGAAGATTGTCTTATACAACTGTTGTTCTTTCTTTAGGGTAAATGCAACTATTTTTTGTCAAGGTAACTTAGCCACCAGTGGGGTTTGACTGTATAGCTGCCAGTAATCACCTCTGTGGCTTCAGCTGAGACAGGACTAAGTTTGGATTTATCACTGACAAATGAATTGGTTATTTGTATCTTGATTATTCCCTTAATTCTTTATCTTGTTACTACAGCTTTTAGTAGAAATTCTCATGAGACCAACTCTTATCACACAGAAAAAGAAACAGAAAAGTAAGTAAATGGCTGGGTTTTTTTTTTTTACTTGTCTTGTGTTCTTACTTTCATAGAAATTCTTCTATTTCTCTGTTCCCATACCAGTGATTTCCTATTCCTAAATGAATCATTGGTTTCTTTGTTCCCTCTGGTACTGATTCATGGTGGGATTTAGGATAGTCACCTGTTGCAAAGCACAGCTCAGTGCATTCATGCACTCAGCATAACATCCCTCAGTGCAGTTAATCTGCAGTCAGTGGAAACTTTCATTGCTTCTGTGGCTATAGCTGCTGTTAACAGTTGTTAATAATCCACAAAACATCCTTGATGTAATAGGAGTTACAGAGATTGTGAGATAATGTAAATGATGCTGTTTTCCTGGTCTAGCCATAGTAACCAGTTTCCAGATTGCTGGAAGGAGAGCTTGCAGGTGGGGTGCAGTAGCTTCAGCACAACTTCCCTGCTGGAGCAGCTTTGGTTTAGTGTTTTCATTTCTCCTGTCTGTCATTCTGGTTCCCTGAACCCTTCTAAGCAAAGGAAATGTCATGGTATGCCCCATGCCTGGCAGCCAGGGAGCATCAAAAGTGAAGTAACTTGATGAATTTGAGCTGGAGGCAGCTGTTGTATGTCTGTACTGAAAACATACTTTGAATATTAAAATGCTGGAGTAAATGAGATTCAGAGATTTGCTATGAAGTTCTGATGCTGTGTGGAGAAAACTCCCTCCATGTTTAACAATTGGAACCAATATGTATCTCTAAAGTTTCTCATATTGACAGATTTTGCATTATCTATGATATTTTCCTAAAATACTCTTTACACCCACATCATTTTCTTTTGTGTGTCGCTGTGTCCTAGACCACAAGTACCTCTTTGTGGTCCTAGGCAGTGCTGAGGGGAGCTTTGGAAGAAGCCATATGAAGAGGTCAGGTATAGAGTGTTTCTTTCTGTTTTCCATCCTCCAAAGCATTTCCACTTACAGTCTGAGCTAGGAGTTAGCCTGAAATTCTCACTGTTGTATAGCTGTTGATGTCACTATGGTGGATGTTAGTGCTCCTCAGCAGTGTGTAGCTACTGAGTGTCTGTGTTCTTCTTTGCAGTAAGCGATGACCTGATCAAGGACTGTTTAAGCATACTGTACAACACATGTATATGTGTAAGTACCACTGCTGTGGAAGTGTGTTTTCTGGGCCACCCTGTAATTTGATGTGTTACTCAAATAATTTCTGTTTTCTTAACCATATCGTCAAGTTTAAATCCTCTTGTTTGGCTCTTTGTGCCCATGTTCCCATAGGAAAGCCATGTTGTATTGAAACCTCAAATTTGCAGCTGGGAATGGATGCCTGCTAACCCATGCTACAGCTCGTCTAGTTCAGTGATAGTGCTGGCAAAGTGTTTTAAGTTGGATTCTGCAACTCCTTCACATGCTGAATATTCAGTTTGGTTGTTGGCAGATCAGTGTTAGGGAAGATACTTGGTTAAAGGCCTATTGCAACTCCTTGCCTTTAAAATGCTGAAGCTAAAAGCTCATGCCTCGGGTGATACATGCAGGGAACATCCTCAGGATTAAGATAATCCCACATTTTGTTATGGCACAACCCAGGGAGCACTGTGGAACAGAAACTTAAGTAAAAGGCAGTTACTGGCTTGGAGCTCTTCCAAAGACATCAACTCAATCTCAAGAGTTGGAGTCTTAATAGATAATGTTCTCACTGTGTGTGCGCATGGGAGGGGGAAGAGAGGGAATACTCTTTTCCTGACTGACATGATGATTATTTAACTGCCTATAGTGCAACTTTTGCAAACTGTGAATGGCGTAATATGCTAAGAAGCAAGTTTGCAGTGTATAGAATAGCTGGTTTAATTGAGTATAACTATATCTATATATATATAAATATATATTCTCTTGAATGGTAAGTATTCGGGATTACAGAAATGTCAGTGCAATATTAAGTGTTCTTAGGCTTATGTGTAAATATTCAGGAAGTGTCTAGTTCTATGAGCACTGGTAATGTGTCAGTTATATATAATAAATGGCTTTGCAAGTGGTAAGGATGTAGTTTTAAGTTATGTTTAATATCAGAAAGGACTGGCTGTGCTTTCAGCAGAGATCAGAGCATGAAATCTGACCTTAGTGAACTCAGTGATGAACCCAGAAGTCACGGGAAAGCTTGAAGTTTGGTTCTTCACTGACTTCAGTAAGGCCAGTGCTTGATTCTGGTTGCTCTGCCAAGCTGGGAGCAATGCTGACAGGCATCTGGGGTTGCTTACATACCGTGGAATGGAGCTGGTTACAGTTTGCATGGAGTACCAGAGTTCTCTCTGAGGTATTTCTATGCATACAATGCTTCCTTTTGATTTAGGCAAGTAAACAGCTGCCTTGAGATGAAGTCTCTCCTCCTGGAGCCTGTTGGTTTTGCATGATAATTTCAGGCAAGGGCTGTTTATGGTGTTTTAGTCACCATAAACACAATGTTTCCTGGCTTCAGGGGTAGCAGATTCAAGAGCACTTCATCTGTAAAACTGTCCTGCTTGTGCCTGTAACTTCTGACTTCTCAAGGTGGGTTCTGACTTTGGGTGCATGTGTGCATTTGCTCCTCTCTAGACGGAAGGAGTCACAAGGCGATTGGCAGAAAGAAACGACTTTGTGTTGTTCCTGTTTACACTGATGACAAACAAAAAGACATTCCTACAAACTGCAACACTCATTGAAGATATCCTGGGAGTGAAAAAGGTCAGTTGCTGGTTTCTTTCTTTGTATGGCTTTTCAGGCCAGGAAGGACAGCTGTTTCTGAATTGTTGAAGATAACCCTCTGAGCAGGCATCCTCACCTCTTAAAGCTTATTTGAAACCTGCATGTTAGCAGTGCTCATCAGTCGCATTTCCTGCAGCAGCCAAGTGATGCATGTGGTCTCACAATGCTGTTGCAGAGCTTGCAGAGGATGGTGTGGGGTGAGCGTAACCCTGGCAAAACCCTGAATGAAATGTCCACATACATTCTGTGGAGAGGGTCAGACACTGGAAGCTGCTCTGAGGTCTCCACACAGCTTCTCTTCTCCAGGCTGAACAGCCCCAGTGTTCTCAGGGGGGTGCTCCAGCCCCTGATAAACCTCATGGTCTCCTCCACCCTTGCTCCAACAACTCTCATGTCCTTATCATTACATGTGACTTATTCTCCTGATGTTGTCTCCTCTAGGAAATGATCCAACTGGATGATATCCCCAATCTTGGGAGCCTGGTGTCCAGTTTTGATCAGCAGCAGCTTGCAAACTTCTGCAGGATCCTTGCTGTCACCATTTCAGAGCTTGACCCAGGCAGTGATGACAAGCACACGCTGCTTGCCAAAAATGCCCAGCAGAAAAAAAATTTGGGTCCTTCTCGAGCTGAAATTAATCAAGGTAATTGTTCATTGGGAACAAACACAAAAGAATCTCGGTGGTGTGTAAAGTTTCCCTCTGCTCAATGTCCCATCTGTAGCGTGTGTTTCCAGAGGATACCGTAAGCAGCCTGTCTTGCAAAGCATTTCTCTTTATTTGCTTTCCTCAAGCAGTTTCCTGGAAACAGTCTTTTCTGATAATGAAACTTCCTTTGTAGCTTTTGGTTTCATACAGGGTTGGTGAATAGGTGGATTAATATCTGTCATTTCAGCCCTCTCTCATGAACTGAGTGGGTTAAAATAATTTGGTCTTGTCTTCTATCCCTTATGGCCTTCCGTTTAGCAGCTCTCAAGAGTTCCATGTCCTCCTTAAAACAGGAATTCCTGAAGTAAACTGCATGCAGCATGGTTGCTGTTGGAGCAGTTCCTTCTCTGCTTTTATCTGGCTTTATCCTGAGCAGGATGTCTGTTTTTATCAACAAGGAAAATATGTTTAATGCTAATCATGTTGCCCCTTTTTAGCACACCAGACTTGGAAATCTGGGGGTCTAATACCAGTTTAACTTTGGGCACAGGGCTGGTTTCCTTATTTTGCTGAGTACTTCAGGTGTGAAAGTCTTGCCCAGAAGGATGAGCGTGAATTTAAGAGATTTAAAAGTATCCTCAAATGTAGAATCTGCTTTTTTCAACTCTTCTTTTGTGCTTCTGAAGCAGATGTTTGCATAGGCCCATGGCAGGCAAATTTGGGAAGTGGAAGAAGGGGGTTTGGAGCTGGTTCTCCTGTTTTCCAGTGTTTTGTGTTAGGCATGAACAGGAAAGCTCCATTTGTAACTGCTGTCACCTCTACAGCATCCAGGGAAAGACAGACACATAATACAGCAGGCAGAAGCTTCAAGAAGCTTTAAAAGGGTTTGTGTTGTCTTCTGCCCTGTGATCACCAGAGGTTGCTTGTAAAGAGCAGGGGACAAGTACACATAGATGTGGGCATGAAGTTTAGTTGAACTGAATAAACATGAATCCTGCAGAGCTGAACTTAGCCAACCAAGTGTTTAACTAATCAGTTTTTGTTTGCCAGTTAGACGCTGTATCTAGGACTGTAAAGCATATTCCATGTTAAAATTATCAGGAAGCTGCTTCTTTCAGAGGTGGTACCAGCAGGCAGAATCTCAACTCTTTCACATAGTCCTTTTCTGGTTACACCTGCAGTGTGAAGACATAGCCATGTAGCTATAAGAAACAGGGCTGTAATTCAGTTATTCTGTGAAATCTTTAGAACAAAAGGCACCTCCCAAGCATTTTGCAGACCAGTGACTTCTGTCCTTGAGTTGCTGTTTCTGAGGGTGCAGTTCCACAGTTAAAACCCTCTGACCTGGGGCTGCTGTTATGTGTTTCCCATCTGTTTTGCTCCATGAAGAACTAATTCAGGAAACCATACTTAAAACGCTAACAGCTTTCTACCCAGCTCCTGAAGTGAGCCTGGTTCAGTGTGCAGTGAGATGCACCACAGGAGGTAAAGAAAGGAGGTAGCATCACACAACAGAGGGAAGAGGAGGTGGAGCTGCCCCTTCGAAGGGCTGCTGCTTTATTTCTGCCAGCTTGATTTGTCAACCGGATCAGTTCCTTGGTATTGCCTTGCTATGGACTGGAAACCAGCAGTGCCAGCAGAGGAAATTGGCTGGAAACAAGCAATTGGAGTAGGGTAGAACTAGTTACACAAACCAGTTTAACACTGATTGAATTACTTCTAGGGTGTATATACTCTCTGTCAGTCCCTAATAGGAGAGTGCACTGACTTCTTCCATCTTTGCATCTATTTAACCAGATGGATTTAGTTTCTGTGCATTCTTCTATATTATCAATGGAGGTGTTTTGGTACCCTGTGGTGTAGAGGATGTGATTAGTGTTGTGTTGGTTATTTTCAATCATAATAAATACTTGGATTTCTTTTTTCAGCTACACTTCTGAATATTCCAGGCTTCATTGAGCGCTTGTGCAAACTGGCAACACGGAAGGTGTCTGAAACAACAGGTACTTCTAGCTTCCTCCAGGAGTTGGAAGAATGGTACACCTGGCTGGGGCTGGACAATGCACTAGTGCTTGATACACTGATGAGAGTGGCAAATGAAGAGGCAGAGCAGAGCAGTACAGGTATCTGGCTTGCATTCCTCTAGCCACCATTAGCTGCTGCATACCTTAACCTACAGTGTTTGCCATGTGTTGCTTTTCTTTTCCCATTTCTTTCTTGGAGAACCACCAGCTCAGCATTTAGGTCTGACTACTGTTTCGTCCTCATGTAGCACTGACTGTTTTTTCTCATGAACTAAGTTAGCAGAAGGAAATGTGCCCTTTGCATGCCTAAATAGCACTAACACTGTACATCCTCAGCACTGACCTCCCTTGGAGTGACAAAAATAACACATACCTGATGTAAGTGAGCTCTAAAACTTAAGCTGATGGCTTTAGGTCCAAATGCTTGGTCTCAAGCAAGGCATCCCTCCTGTTAAGGTAGTGCCGGAAAATTAAGTAACTTAATTGGGAAATAAAATAACAGTTCCAGGTTGAGTGTGTGGAAGTGTTAATACAACCTTAAAAAGTGCTTTGAAGGGAGCATGGAGTTTGTTTCCTTACCCTTACAAAAATGCATTGTATGTCTTGGAGAGCTCAAAAGTACTTGGTAATGTCATGAGAATTAGCCCCAAATTTTGATACCTATATCATTGCTTCTGTGCTGCTTTAGAAAACTTTCTTCTTACCCAACTTTAATAGTTTTGTAGCAGTTATTAGAATTTCTGAAAATACACAACCCCTTGAAATATGTCAATAGCAGCATTTTTCATGTAGCTTTATACACACCAGTGTTGTGGAAAGGACAGGGGGAATGGCTTTAACCTGCCAGAGGGGACATTGAGCTGAGCTCTTAGGCAGAAGTTTTTCCCTGTGAGGGTGCTGAGGTGCTGGCACAGGGTGCCCAGAGAAGCTGTGGCTGCCCCATCCCTGGCAGTGCTCAAAGCCAGGTTGGACACAGGGGCTTGGAGCAAGCTGCTCCAGTGGAAGGGGTCCCTGCCTGTGGCAGGGGTTGCAGCTGGAGGAGCTTTCATGTCCCTTCCAACCCAAACCTGGGATTTTGTGAAACCAGAGAGCGTTTGGTGTTCTGGAGCAGAGTTCTCAAGGCTGAGGTGAAACAAGCCCAGTCACAGCTTTTGACCCACAACATCAGTCAGGAAGCAAACTGTTGTGGTTCAAGCCCAGACAGTAACTCAGAATCACACAGCTGCTCTCTCACTCCCCCCCCCCCAACTTCTTCCTCCCCCTTATCCTGGAAGCATGGGGAGAAGACTCGAAAGAATGTAACTCCCATGGACTGAGATAAAAGCAATCCAGTAACTAAGGTGTAACACAAATCACTGCTGCTACCACCAATAATAATGATAAGGGAAATAACAAGGGAAGAGAATGCAACTGCTCACCACCCGCCAACCGATACCCAGCCCTACCCGAGCAGTGATCTCACCCTTCCAGTTTATATAGTGCCCTCAGTTTATATAGTGGGCATGACGTGCTGTGGTATGGAATATCCCTTTGGTCAGTTTGGGTCAGGTGTCCTGTCTCTGCTTCCTCCCAGCTTCCCCTCCTCCCTGGCAGAGCATGAGGCTCACAAAGTTCTTGGTCAGAGTAAACATTACTGAGCAGCAACTAAAACCATCGGTGTTATCAGCGCTGTTCCCAGGCTGAAAGTCAAAAACACAGCACTGCACCAGCTGCTAAGAAGGAGAAAAATGACTGCTACTGCTGAACCCAGGACACAAACCCAGATGCACATTCCCAAAACACTGCCTCAGTGTCCAGTAGCTTGTGGACTCTGAGTCAGAGTTGGCATCTGCGCTTTTGTGCCTTTGGTGATTTCCCTCCTTTGTGTGTTTGCATAGTTACTGTTTCTTCACATGGGTTCAACAAGCATTCATGTTGTCCTGTGGCAGGCAGGACAGTTCAGCCCTTAGATGTGTTTTGTGTGAGCTAGCTCCTTTCTGAACTGCAGCCTACGAGTTTCACTGTGTCTTTATTGACTTCTCTGTGTCACTCATGATTTCTGTCATGCAGACATAGAATGGTGTGGGTTGGAAAGGACCTTAAGATCATCTAGTTCCACACCCCCCCCCCCCACCATGGTTTGTTATATCCTGTTTCTGCCCTTAGCAGTATAATTCTAGACAGGGATATGAAAATTATTTACCTGTGGCCTAAGTATACTGGTACTGAGGTACGAAATGAGGATAGACAAATATTAAATGCTTCTGATCATCTCACCCCTACCTTTATTACGTTTTCTGCCGTGTCCTTTCTGGTGTAGTAATCTGCTAGGTCATAGAGGTGATCCTACTTATTTTAGGTAAACAATGCCCTCCATCCATGGAAAAAGAAATAATTTTAAGAAAACTTATTTTATTGCAGCTCTGTTTTTGTCTTCTGTAGCATTTAAGTTGGTTCTTCGCTGCATGGCACTATTTTTGATTAAGATTCAAGCAGATGTGCTGGGTTTACACCTGAGGTGTTTCAGTGCACAAGTAACAGCTGCTACAAATCCTTTCCTGTTGAAGCTGCCTCAGGCTTACATCTTTGCCATCTTTTCAGAATCTTCAGATGAGAGTGGCTTAGCCAACACCTCGACACGAGCACAGCTTCCACAGCCCATGAAGATCATGCACGAGATCATGTATAAGCTGGAGGTGTTGTATGTTCTTTGTGTGCTGCTCATGGGGAGACAGAGGAATCAGGTGAGCACTTGAAAAGGGTCACTCAAGCGGAAGGTAACATCTCTTTAAATCTAAATACTCATGAATTAGGTCATGGGCACAAAAACACGAGGGGCAAAGCTCAAGGTGTAAAGCTGGGCAGATCCTGTCACCACAGGGTTACACAAACAAACGTCATTGAGAGCCAGCATGAGCCACTGAGTAAGGCTTCACACAGGTTGTGCTGACCTGTGTGTGTGTGGGGGGGGTGTCAGTCTTCAGAGCTCTGTATGGGTGCAGAAGGACGCTCCCAGATGAGGCATCCTGTCTGTGTGTGAGGAAAGGTGTGGGTGTACCTGGATGCTTCAGGAGCTGCAGTTATGTGTTCTTCCCCTTGGTGCACTGGTGACCTGCTCAGAGCCCATTCATTCTTCCCCTTCCCTGGTTGCTTTCACTTCTGGAAGATCCTCTGGGGTGACTGGGTGGTTTCTGCAGTAAGTTCCCATGTCTCAGCTGAGTGTGGTGTTAACTCTCAGCTGGAAGGGTACACTTCAGGGCTGCCTGCTCTAGGTGCTGCCTAGAAATCTCTCTCATTCACTTTTGTATTTCTTAACTTTCAGAATGAAAAGTAACTTGTTCCCTGCCTTCCATAGGCTTATGGAGAACCAGTCACTGCAGCTTGGCTGTATTTTGCTAGAAACTTGTCAAAAGCATATTGTGAAGGAAAAAGAAAAGCAATCTGTTGGTGCAGTTTTGACAGATTTCCAGTGCTGGCAGCCTGCTCAGCTCAACGGAGCAGCTTGGAATAGCAGGGGCATTTGGATGCCCTAGAGACTGGGAGGATCAGATTGTTCTGAGCTGTTGAAGGGCTCTTGTATTAGGCAAGAATAGCTGTATTGGGCTGTTGCTTGAGCACACTTTGAGTATTTTGTTCTTTACTTGTAACCTCCTGCTGTTTAGGAGTCACAAATATGCAGAATCTCTTAAATGTCTTAATCTGAATTTGAAATAGAAGTGCTTTTGTAGTAGTCGCAAACATAACTCACGTGGTCACTCTGAACTCTGATGCTCAGCACTGAAAAGAAATAAGATTCAGTATAATAGTAACCAGAAGAAACTAGCAATTCTTGCAGCAACCAGAATCAGTACCATAAGAAACTCATAATCCTGTTGTACTTCACTGTTTTTAAAAGTACTTCATTGCTTTTAGAAGTACTGTTTCTGTTGGGCATAAACCCACCAGAGCATGGATCTACTGGGAGGAGGTTTTTTCCCATTGTATGGAGTCAGATAACTGATCCCTCCCTCGTTTCACCACAGGAATGCAGCTTTATAGATACTCTAGAAAATACTTGTAGCTTGTGCTCATCGTGCTGCTGCCTGTTCAGGGAGGTGGAGGGGCTGGCTTCCTGGGTCACTTCTGGGGTGGTGCTGTCAAATGAGACAAGGTGGACAGTTTGCTGCTTGAATAGCTAGCTTTAAACTTGACTTTTTTTTTTTTCCATTTCCTGGAAAAACAGCTCTTTATTCCTCCTCTGCCACTTCTGCCCCCATGCAAACAGTGAAAGTGGCTAAGGATGAAGCTAGTGGCTCACTTTGCAGGGCTGGTTCAAGACTGGAATTGAATTCTTGAAAGACTTGAGTTACTTCATTCCCAAACACTTTTTGCCCAGAGCCAGGTCTTTCAGTAAAATCCACTGCCTTTGAAACAGGTGTGAATCCATTCCCCTTCCTGAGAGGCAGCTGGATGAAGAACTGGATCTGAGCTGTTCTATGTGGGAAGCTCCAATAAGCAGGAAGCTCAGTGTCTGCAACAGCACTCTCACTGACAAGCGTTTCAGTTGCTGGATGGGATCTCTTTTCCTATGAGGGAATAAAAGCACTGATCTGTGCTATCAGTCACCCAGTCTGAGCAGCCAAAGTTCTTACTGGTTTTATATTGGACTAATTTTGCGTAGGATTTCTGCAGGACACCACAAACCTGCCTCCGTCCGCTGTGATAATCAACATAATGGTCAGGCATTTGCTTGAAGCGTGATGCAGCTTCTTGACAAACTCAACCTGGTTTTGGATGGTTACTCTAAATCCTTGGTTTAAACCTGACTACTGGCTAATGTGCATGAATCGGCAGCTGTTGTGTGTTAGGGATGATCGTGCTCTTGGGGATAAGTGGTGTTTCACTGCAGATCTGTGCCTTTGCTTCCTTCTTATTATGATCAGACTCTAAATTACTCTCCTTATATATGTATAAGGAAATACATGTATTATGGTGAAAGGCAGTCAGATGAGTTACTTGTTTCTTCTACAGGGAGCCAAACTGCATGCAGCAGAAGCTCACAGTAGTGTTAGTGGTGAGAAAGAAATAGAGGAACTCATATGAAGCTGGGCAGCAACAGCAAAAGCTCACAGGAGTTTGAAGAGTGAATGAATATAGAGCAGGGACTGTCTTGGCATCCCTGGGCCGAATAGTTGTGAGGAGTTTGGGGTCTGGGGGGAGTGCGTGATCCAAAGGCAGTGACTGTGACTCAGAAGCTTTGGCATGCAGCCATCTGTCAGGTGGGAGCTTGTGAGTTAAGTAAACTGAATACATCCGAGATTAGGGAGGAGTCATTTGGAATAAGCAGGTTATGCTCTGTGTGAAAAGAGCAGATTCAGGAGTTAAAATGATGAACACAGAGAGCTCCCCCTTTAGTGAGGGACTGAGGCTCTTGCAAGCAGGTCATATACTTGGTTTAATCTGTTGTGCTTGTGCCGTTCTGGCCACTGAGGGACTACAGCGAGTGCTTTGTTAAGAGAGATTGCTCAGAGCTGCTGTTGTTGGAGGCTTGTGACTAGACCAAATTGTCTGAGAGCATTTTAAGGTGAGGGAGCACCAAAGGATTCCAGGCTTTGCAGTCTGTTAGGGTGGTTGGGTGAGGTGGGAAGAAGCTGCATGCTTCCTCAGATGCGATATTCAGAGATGTCCAGCAGCAGGAATGTGATTTCCATATAGATGTAAATGAAAACATGTGCTTCCAGAGGCAGGGTGGTTAACTGAAGCATTGTCTAACAGCATTCTCCCCAAACGTCTGGTTTTTATCCATCTCCACCAAATGGAAACTGGTGTAGTGATACACCATAGTCACTGTACATGTAACCACAAACACATGATGTTTGCTAAAGGAATTCACTCTTTCTGCTGTCAGAGGATGACATAATTGTGCCCATCTGTTTACCAGACTGTTCTGTCCAGATCGGATATGTGCTTCTCTTGCTTTCCAGGTTCATAAAATGATAGCGGAGTTCAAACTGATTCCTGGCCTCAATAACTTGTTTGACAAACTGATCTGGAGAAAGCATTCAGCATCAGCCCTGGTTCTGCATGGACACAACCAGAATTGTGATTGTAGCCCAGTGAGTAACTTTTTAAATGTTATATTGGGTTTTTATCTTATCATTTAATTCTGGGTGGTTGTATTGAGTAACTGGGTGCTTGGATAAGAAAGGGAGATGTGCATTCGTATTTTTTTGGTGAATTACTGCTTAAGTCTTTATCTTTGGTTCATGCTGGCAATTTAGCTTCTCCACTCTCTCTTAGTTTGAGAACTGGGAAAGGGTTCTGTGGTCCCTGGAAGCCAAAGGTGGAAGATGACCATAATTAAGGACATGATAGCTAGTGGGACTAGCAAGGAGAGGCACAACACAAATGGATCACAGTCAGGTCTTTTGGGGGGAGTGGAGAATTAACCATTTCATGCACAGCCTGGGGGGCAGTCTCTATTTCCATTTTGGGAAGCCTGCAAAGTGCAGCCTTCTCCATTTATGCAAGTCACTTGCACTGCTGTCCAGATGTGTTTGGTTTGGATAGGTTTTCAGTTCAGCTGTTTCATGTCAGCTTTGGTAACTAATGATATCCACAAATAAAGCAAAACCTGTTGACCTTTCTTGTCTCTTTTTTAGGACATTACTTTAAAGATCCAGTTCTTGAGGCTTCTTCAGAGCTTTAGTGATCACCATGAGTGAGTATGGAAAGCTGTGGGAGACTGGGTCTCGGTGTGTTTGGTTGCAGTTACAGTGGGTGTCCCCAGCATGGTGCAGGACCATGTGAATGGAACATTGTACTGTCCTTAAACTTGATTCCATGCTCATGTGCCTTTCAGCTCCTGCTGTGGAGACATTATGGACATGCTCTGCAGTGGGCATGTCTTAACATGTCTGTTGATGATTTAAAATATCCCATTTTGCTTTGTGTTGCAGTGAACTGAACCGTTTATATGATGAGTGAGCACTTTCTGGCCGAGGGAATAAGGAGGCAGCTTTCATGCTGCTCTTTATCTGTCTTTTCTCTGAGAGTTGGTAGTGAGCCAGTGTGCTCACAAGAGCACATGTACCCTGTGAGGACATGTTCAGGTTGGAAGAGCAAGGTGAAAGGCAACCTCTGAAGAGGTTAATCAAGACTCCTTTGCCTTTTTAAAAGGCTGGGAAGACATGATTGCTGTCTGAATGCCAGTAATAGAGAAGACCTGATGAAACTGGATGGGAAAATATTAAAGGAACAGTTATCTGTCAGCTAGCCATTGGGAAGCTAGGTTGTAAATAGGAAGAAAGTTTCTGTTTGCCTTCAAAAGGCAGACTTGCAAAGGTTGAGTCTGCTGGAATAGTGATCTATAAATGCTGTACTGCTGCTACAAAGGTACTTGTTGCTCTGTTCTGACATGTAGAATCATATCTTGCAGTACAGTGTCCTGTTGCTCTAATTCAGTCCTGCAAGGTGGTGTTCTGTTGCTTACAAACATCTGCCTTTGAGGCGTATGGCACTGCTTGCCTGCTCAGATGTGCAGCCAGTGATACTGTGTGTAGATTTGATCTAGTACTGGATGGAAACATCAACCTTTTTGATTGTGCAGGGTTAGCTTTAAGACTGGGGAGCTGCTGGACATACTGTAAGCAGGAGGGTAAGGCCGACCTATTGTAAATCCTCCATGCAAGACATTGTTTGCCCAGAAATCATTCCAGGTTTTCCAATAAAATCTCTTTAGATGATATTCCCACTTGAGTGGCCACTACAAAGATCTCAGGCTTGTTTAAACAGAGCTTTCAGCTGTAACGTTTGAGCAAGTGGAATGTGTGGAATCTGGTTCAGGGTTTTAAATAAGGAGTTACATGAACTCACAGATATGCTGAGTTAGCCGAGGACAAGATGAGAGCAACTACTTCTGTGCTACTATTCAGTAAGACTGTGTATAAACCCACACTTGTGGGACTGTTTATTGTCTGGGGAGAGAGGTTGTATTTTCATTACAGAAACCTGTTGATCCAGATCAAAAAAACCCTCCATGTGACAGCCTCAGTGGGCACTTACCTGGAAGCCAGTGTTTGAAGCAAGAAGGCATCCCCATCACATTTCTGGTGTAACAGTTTATCTTCTGTGTAGTTATGTGTGATGAATAGGTTCTCTTTGCACACCTTCACAGTCGTCACTGCTTCCTGTGCTCCTTTAGGGCTCCTGAAAATACAACTTTGTAGTTGGTTCTGAGCACTTTGAAGTTGGAGGGCTCTAAGGGAGCACACTGGCATGGGGCAGGGAGTCTCCCAAAGGGAGCCTCTAGATTACATTTCTACTCTGTCAGTCTTATTCTGCATTTAATTTACTTTACAGCTAAACTAATTGATTTTCATTAGGAAAAGTTTAGTATTTGATAATGAATTCCATGCAGATTCCTGGGGCTTGTATCCATCCCTCTTCTATTTTCTGCACTTCATGAAGTGTTTTGATCTGTCCAGAGTAAACAGTTTGTTCAGAGTAGTAAAATACCAGGATGATTGAGGACTTTTCTTGCAGTGCCTACTTTCTGAGATTAACTGCTGACAAAGAGCATGGTCACTATAAGGCAGAGAGAAACTGTAGGAACCTGTGGAAAAAGTTGATTTAAGTCTTCTGAAATTCAGCAAAATGTTGCTGAGATTTTAAAAAACAAACCCTAAGATCCTGAACAGCAAAACACCACCATCTCTGAGGTGGTCAGTGTTGAAACTGGCATTTGGTGGTTTTGGGAGGAGGTTCACAACACAGCAGGTAGCTGGCCTGCTTTGGGAGTGTGCTGTGGTGAGGGAAGCAGAGTCAGAGAGGTGGAAGCTGCTTGCCTGGTCCTGCAGCCCTCATAGCTGTGTAGCTTCACTCTTCATGGGATTGCACATTTGCCTCTTGAATTCATTGCATTTTCTCCCCAACTCCCCAAATGTCCTGCTGTAGGAACAAGTATCTGCTTCTAAACAGCCAAGAACTCAACGAGCTGAGTGCTATCTCCCATAAAGCCAACATCCCTGAAGTTGATGCAGTTGTCAACACAGACAGGTGAGTAGGGGTAAAGGGTTTATTGCAGCAGCTTCTAAAGTTTTGCAAGCACTTACATTGGAGGCTTGATGTCACCTGGTTTATTTGAGGTCCTTCTGTCCTAGACACTTGCTTTATTTCTAGTGTTTCAGCAGGAAGTGGCTAGGTTTGTATGATATTCGTGGTCTTTAGCAAAGCTAAAATGTGCTTGTGCTCAGAGTAAGGCTCTTTATAAAACAGAAGCAACCTGAAAGAGGGAGTTTGAGTTCATGGACCAGACTCCGTCATGATGTGCTTTCCAAAGGCCTGTTTGGCCCTTCTCACTATGGGCACTACAGACAGAGCTGGTGAGTAAACTGGCATCCCCCAATGCATGAATTGCTGCTACTAATAGATCTTAGTTAGAGATTCAGAAGCAGTCTGTGCACACACAGCGTCTGTTTCCGGTCTGCACAAACAGATCTGTGTGTGTCTACTCAGTCTTTAAGAGCAGCTAATAACTAGAATAAGCTAAATTAGATTAACATGTTAAACCACTTATGAATCTGTAGTGTTAGAGTACCTGTTAGATTGACTGTTTTGAATGTAATAAGCTCTTTAATACATGATTCTGATGCACAAACCTCCCAAGGTGAAATATTTGCAGAATTCAGTTGTCAGGATTCTCCCAGAGCATGAGCCAGGCCCTGGGCTCCCAGAGCAGATTTACCTCACTTCTAAAGCGAATTCTGCAAGAGAACATTAAAATTATTATAATACTGTGCCTAATTGGGAAGAAATGCTGTCTGTATTACGAAGATCCTTCCTTTCTAAGCACAGGTACCCTTCTGGCTTTGGTCAAAAAGGGGTGAGTATTTAGGAGAAAGAATTCACCCAGTTAAGAGCACACTAAAGGTGCTTTTTCCAGCCTGCAAAGTTTCTCATCTCTCTCAAGTGCTAGTGAGAACAGACTCACACTGCAGAACAGCTGCTTCCCACAAGGGCTTTGTCAGCTGGCTCTTGACTGCCCAGCAAGGGTACATGGCAGTTAACCCGGGTGTATCTGCTGAACCTGCATCCTGGGGCATTTTGATTAGGAGGGTGCAGCTTGAAACGCTTCATTCTGCCTCTGCAGGGAGGCTTGTGTCGCCTGACAGGCAGCATTGCTCAGTTTCTGACCTAAACTTGGTATCTTTTTCACCCTTAGCATTTTGTTTCCATGTTGATTTTCCTGATACATGAGATTGTATAATGGTTTGGGTTAAAGGGACCTTAAAGCTCATCCAGTTCCAACCCCCACCTGGCCTTGAGTACTGCCAGTGATGGATCAAGGCATTGCTTCTGCACAAGGTTGCTGTAGGTAGATGCTCCACTGAAGATGCTGTTAAATACAAATAGTATTTCAGTTCTACAGCCTCTGTGCTTTTAGTGCTACACACATGAAGGCTACTTCATGTAGCATTTGGGTTTCCATACTCTTGTCTCCTTAACAGAACTTGGAGCTTCCTTTATGTTTATTGAGCAAAAAAAGCCTGTTTCTTTCATTCCTAAGCACAAATGTGGTATATGTGACATTTTTTTTCTAACTCTTAAACACTACAAGCTGTGAATTGGTATTTTTGAAATCATTACAAGTTTGAGAGGAAGTGAATCATTTTTCTTTAGGGTTTGTTTGGAAGTCATGTTGCAGCTTTTTATTGCAGATGTTCATCAAAGGCAGTGAGGAGAGTTCTTCCATTGGTAGAACTAGCAATGAATATTTGTACTGTATATTTAATACTGGGATTTTGATTATTAAAAGCTCTGGAGAAGAGACTGGATTCAGTGTTCTACAAGGTACAGAGCTTGCCACCCCTTCCACTCATGCTGTGGTTTCCTCATGTGCTCTAGGAGTCTCGTCTGCGATGGGAAAAGGGGTTTGTTGACCAGACTGCTTCAGGTCATGAAGAAGGAACCGGCTGAATCCTCCTTCAGGTGGGTTCACTTGTGCTGGAGCTCTTTTGAGTTGACTGAGAAGTCAGTTTGCTTTCATGCAACCTATAGCCATTGAAAATGATAACCTGTGAAAAGATCTGGCTTCGTTGCACTTGTCTACTGTGGTAGTGCAAGTGAGGGAGAATGCCAGAGCTTGTGTTGGACCTCACACCCAGCACAGGATCAATAGGTCTGACTCCAGCTTTAGATTGGAATGAAACAGCTCAGGAAATATGATTTAAACAATAGCTGTGATAATACTCCCCTTGCTCCGAAATGAAAACCTCATTTCTTCTTTCCTCCAGGTTTTGGCAGGCGAGGGCAGTTGAAAGTTTTCTGCGGGGCACCACTTCCTATGCAGACCAGATCTTCCTGCTGAAGAGAGGACTCCTGGAGGTAATGAAGTATACAGAATCATAGAATGGTTTGGGTTGGAAAGGACCTTAAGATCATCCAGCTCCAGCCCCCTGCCATGGGCAAGGACACCTCACACTAGACCATGTTGCCCAAAGCTCTGTCCAACCTGGCCCTGAACACTGCCATGGATGGAGCATTTACCACTACTTTGGGAAACTTGTGCCAGCACCTCAGCACCCTCACAGTAAAGAACTTCTTTGTTATATCTAACCTGAACTTCCCCTGTTTAAGTTAATCACTGGGATTAATTTAACAGAACTCATCTGCATTGTAGTCTTTAGTTCTGTCTTCTCAGAACTAAACCTGGAGATAGCTGTTTTAGTGGTTACATCAGAGTCTGCTGTACTGCTGGCTTGGGCTGAACTGTGGCAATAACATGTTTTCCTCCCATGCCAGCATATTCTCTACTGCATTGTTGATAGTGAGTGCAAATCACGAGATGTGCTTCAGAGTTACTTTGACCTTCTGGGAGAACTGATGAAATTCAATATTGATGCATTCAAGAGGTTCAACAAGTACATCGACACAGATGAGAAGGTAAATACTTGCAGAAGCTGTGCCAAGTGGGTCACATTACACACATTACAATACAGCCAAATGCAGCACTAAAGCTCAGATGCATTTGATTTTGGTGTGATTGTTGAGCTTGGTGCACAATTAAGACTAAGAAGTGAGCTGCCAAAGACTCTTCACAAGCATCTATGTTGCTGCATACACTCATGTTCCCAGAAGTGTCGCAGCTGTTGTGAGTCAGCAGGCTCTGGGCTGCTCAGAAAATTCTGCCCTGTTGCATGATCAGGCAGGGCTAAGGTCAGGGTTTATGGTAGAACATTTCCTGTGAAGTCACTGGGGTTTGGGTTAAGTTGATAGTTGTGGATGTTGAGACAGGCTCAAAAAAATCTTTTACTGTAGCTTTAAGGGTTCTTCATGGAGATGACTTCAAATACTCAATATTTGATGCTGTAGAAAGACATATATTGATGTTATGTGAATTTACAGGCAATTACATACAAGGCTGATGTAATTACCTATAAAACTTAGTTGTATGTGTAGATCAGGAATGGGCAGCTCTATGCAGAGTGGTTGCATGCTCTTGTGCACTTTGCACGTCATCAGCTGTTGGATAGGCTTTGAGTTGCCTCATACTCTTGCTTCTGTTACTAAAATGTTTCTCTGGTTGCTGTTAAGTTTGAACGACCAGGGAGGATAGAAGCAGAGGTGTATTTAAAAGAAAGATGTATTTAATTTCAGGTGATTTTCTGGTAAATGAATAAAATCCTTCTAGAGAATCTGTCCTTAAACTTTGTGTGTGCTTCCTATTTATCGAGCTATAATTTCTTTAATTGTCATTCTCCACGTTATTCCTCCCTAGCACTGTCTGCTTGTACAGAGTAAGTGTAGGAAAATATGAAGCTGGAGGAACTAGAGAGCCCAGCAGCTATGCTGACTTATTTCCCTCTTTCAAAACAAACAGTGTATGAAATCTTGGCTTCATTGAAGTGACCTAGCTTCAAAAGAGATTTGAGTGGTGCCAGGACTTTGGTGTTTTCCTTTGCCATAGTGTTTTTTAAAGTACTTGCTGTAGGCATCCTTTGGCCAGCCTTCAGTGCTGGAGTTGGCTTGGGCTGGATGAGGCAATCCGTGCGTGGAGTATGGATCTCATCTTGTTGGGGTAACAAAAAAGGAAGTGATCCTGAGCATTTGGGCATTCAGAACTGACCATTTCCTCTTAACTTAAGAAATGTCAATGTCTGAAGCCTTACATTGAAGTGCACCTTTTGGGTGCTTGTGCTCAGAACTTCAAGTGGCTTCTCCAATATCCTTCAGGAACTGTTCTAGTTCAGTGTGAAACACCTGGAGAACACTTAATGTTGCTCTACTTGCCAAACCCTGTTTGTAGGTTTTCCTAACTGACCTGTTCCCCTACTACTACAGAGTAACTGCATTAGCACACCCCTTGGCCGTACCCATTCTGAAGATACCAAATGCTGTGCTCAGACCTCCTCTGTGGGTGTGCATGTAGAATGGTGGTTTTGTTGGGTTTTTTAAATGCAATACTAAAAACTATTTCTGTTTAGTTCCAGATATTTTTAAATCAGATCAACAGTTCACTGGTTGACTCAAACATGCTTGTTCGCTGCATTACCCTGTCCCTGGACCGATTTGAGAATCAGTCTGATGCTAAAGGTAAAGAATCACAGAATCCCAGACTGGTTTGGCTTGCAAGGGGACCTTAAAGCTCATCCAGTTCCAACCCCTGCCACGGGCAGGGACCCCTTCCACTGGAGCATCTTGCTCCAAGCCCCTGTGTCCAACCTGGCCTTGAACACTGCCAGGGATGGGGCAGCCACAGCTTCTCTGGGCACCCTGTGCCAGCGCCTCAGCACCCTCACAGGGAAGAGCTTCTGCCTAAGAGCTCAGCTCAGTCTCCCCTCGGGCAGGTTCAAGCCATTCCCCTTGGCCTGTCCCTACAGATCCTTGAATAAGAAGTGGTGTTTGATAGTGGCAGTGGTTATTTAAAGCCTGGGGTTTGAAAACTTTGATTTTAGCCTGAGAAGCGCCACTCTGCTGTTTGTTGCTACAGTCTGAGCAGCAGCCCTTACTGCCATGTTGCTTGGACCAACCTGCCTGAGCTTTAAGCACCTGATGACTGTTTCTTTCTTCTCGCTGCAGTTGCAGAAGTCCTGTCAGAGTGCCGCCTGTTGTCATATATGTCCCAGATGTCCATGAGAATGTCCTTTCTTTTCCGTCTCATTAATATTATTCATGTACAGACACTTACACAGGTAAAGAGCTCACAGTAACTTTGCAGATTGCTGATATTGTGTTGTGATGAACTGGGCTGGGAGTAGGGAGGAACCTGCCTTCTCTTCAGGAGACGCATGTCCCTTCTTGATACACATAGGAGCTCCTCTTGCTTACCATAAGCATGGTTTGTAAGGATGTGTACAGCTGATACCTCAGGGGGGTTTATGGTTGGTTTGGGGTTTTCTTGTCTCACCTGCTGTCTCATTTTTACCTTTAGGAAAATGTCAGTTGTTTGAACACAAGTTTAGTTATCCTAATGCTGGCCCGAAGGAAAGAAAAGCTGCCTTTTTATCTGCACACTTTGCAACAGATGGAGTACACAGAAAAATACCCAGGCTTCATCCTGAACAACTTCCACAGTCTCCTGCGATTCTGGCAGCAGCATTACCTCAACAAGGATAAAGACAGCACCTGCTTAGAAAATGTATGTGAGCCTCTTACCATTGCAAGAATCAGTTACAGCATTTGTCTGCTAGTCACCTGGCAAAAATGGGAAGTGAGAGGTTGTGAAGGGAAGCAAGGAGCAAGCTGTGCTCTAGGTTGTAACTTTGTGTAGTGCTTTTCACATCATGTTCCCAGTCAGGTCCCTTCCGCAAGCAGTCAAACCTCACAAGGTAGATGCTGGGTTTTCCTGCAAGTAGGCCCTTAGGTCTTGCTCTGGCACACAGGGAGACTTGCTAGTGCTGGGTGGGTTTGAGAGGCAGGGCTGGTGAGGTGAACAGCCCTGCACAGGGGTGTAGAGGCAGGACGGAATCCACCTTTCACAATAGCTAGCACCTTAACCAGACTGTCCTCTCTCTTCTGCTGTGGCACGGTGCAGGAAAACAGTCTGGTGTAGCTGCTCCAATACAGGGCAGCTGAGCTGTTTACATACAAGGGACATACAATACAAGGAAAGCAGCCCACTCTTTTCCACTTGAGCTGGTCTGTTGGGCACGAAGAAGAGGAAGAAATGACCTGTGATAAGAAGACAGCTCCCTTGTATATGCCCTAGAAGGCTGAAGGGAGACTGCACAGGTTCCTTCCTTGACTTTTCAGTGGTTGAGTGACAGGTTTAACAGATACTAATGTGTTTGGTGTGCATGTAACTGCAGAACATATGGCTGTCATGAGTGGTTTGCAGGTACAGGAGACTTCCTATAGATGAGGTACCTGAAGAGGAGCTTCTTCCCACCCCTTCTGCTCCCTGCCCTGGCAAGGAGGGGCTGAACAGTGACCCAGAGGTGTGGGGCTGGGCAAATCAGGCTGAATAAGAAGCAATTTTCAGTTCTCTCTGCTGAATGCCTTTGGGATATGCCTTCTGCTGCATGTCAGTGCCTGTGGACCTCACTAACCAACCTCTTCATCTCTTCCCACAGAGTTCATGTATTAGTTTTGCCTACTGGAAAGAGACTGTATCTATACTGCTCAGTCCAGACCGGACATCCCCCTGTGCCATAGTTAGCTACATCGACGAGGCGTACATGGACGTTGACAGAGACTTTGCTGAGGAGTAACTCTTCACTCCGCCTTCTGATGGACAGCGCTTGGAGGGTCCCTCACAGCCCATGGATTTTCAGGGATATGCTGTGGAGTGTGTGTGTGTGCACGGCTTGGAACCGTGGAGCATTGTCCTAACCCCAACCCCCCTCCCCCCCCATCCCCATCTCTGATCTCTAACAGATGAGACTCTGAGAGCTCTCTGGGCAACACATTCAGGGATGTATCTTCCAGCTGTTCTGGGATAAAAACCATTACCTTGCAAAAACCAGCCTCCTTCTTTTCTCTCTTCCCAGCCCAGCGTGGCTGGTCAGAGATCGTTCTTTGCAGACCCGTGAGGATGCTCTCTATGTGCCAGTTGAGTTGTGGCTCTTCCAGAACGAGCAAGTCAAAAAGCACAGAATTGTCCTCCAGATGTGAGGTCCAAGGAGCCAGTGTGACCAGGACCCAGGCACCAGTCACCTGCGGAGCCACCACGAGGGCTCCCTTGGGTGCAACTCTTCTGTTGGGGTTTGGAACCAGGGATTCAGGGTTGGTTAGAGTGTGAGAGAGTGAGTGTGTGTGTGTGTGTGTGTGTGTGTGTGCTTTTAATTCCCGAGAGCCCCAGCTCCAGTCACCTCTTTACCATCTCCTTTTGCATCATTTGGTACTAAATCTGTGCGTTAGGAGAGAACCTCTGCTCCTGCTGTCTTCCCCTTCCCACCTGAAGGTGTCAGAGTACTGTGCAGAACAGAGACATCTCAGCACTGGGACAGTTGGAGCTCTTTGAAATGTACTAATTTTGGTAAACTTGCAGCTTGTCCCTTCTTGGGGAGCTAATGTGGTTTTAAAATCCTCTTCAGGACCATTGCTCTTGATGCTGACCTGCTATGCCTGAAGTCTTATGTCAGTCTCTGCTTTCAGTCCTTAAGCAAAACCCACACACTAATCCTGAAGTGCAATATTTACTGGAGATGTCAGTTGTTTTCCTTGGGTCTGTTTTAACTAGAATGTGTTAAATGCTGGGAATAAACACTCCTGGTTGAAAGGAACATTGTGGGACATGTTGGAAAAGGGGGAATTGGCATTTGGCAGTCCTGATTGCAAAACTTGGCCCTGCCCTGCCTCCTCACCAGCGGTAATTGTGTTTCTCCAAGGCAGATCCCCAGGAATGAGATAACAGCCTGAAGTCCTGAGCCACTGCATTTGATTCAGAAACTGTCTCACAGCTCCAGCTAAAGGAAACCTGTTCTCTTCGAAACACTTCTTAACTTTTCTGATTTGATGAGTGACTTGGCTTCAGCTCTGTCCTGGCTCCGGGGAGGTACTGGGGAAAAGATGGCCCAGGGTTGAAGCGTTGTGTCTCATCACTGCCAGCAGAATGCAGCCCACTCTGAGGGTCCCTGTGCTGGGGCCCTGGGTGAGGAGCAAAGCTCCAACTACCCCCGTGCAGGGCTTGCTCTCCACATCCACCTCTCTGTGTCCTGCTCTGGACTTGCAGTTGGTACTTTGCTTGCAGCGGGCTCAGAGCTGCTGAGCTTGTGCATTAACCTGGATTCATGCAGGAGCTCCTGGAATCCTTGTGTCCCAGCTGGGGGCTGAATGCCTTGGGCAGACCCTACCCTGGTTCCTCACTGCAGAGCTGCAGCATCAGGTCCCCACCTCCCTGCCCCTTCCCTCCCCTGAGCTCATTTCTTTCTCCTCTGTACTCTTTTTGTTCTTGGGTACTTGTGGCTTTGGTGTATCTTTGCTTCTTCTTAACTGTAACGATGTACACGTAAAATAAATGCTTCAAATTAAAAAGGCTTTTAACGTAAGGGATGCCTTTTATTGGTGCATCCAGTGATTGCTGCTCACATCTGGATTGATGTAACAGGCAGAGGGACCAAAGTCCATCTGGCCTTAGCTATCTGGTTGCGTGGCTGAACCAAACTCCCTTTGACCACCCAAGGCCCCGGTGATTGTGGGGTCCACACATCCTAGAGGCAGCTTGGCTTTTCCTTGGCCTTTAGGCTGGTGCAGGAGCCCAAGCTGGCCTTCAGCAGAGAAGGAAAAGGAACCCACAGCAGCTCCTCCAAGGAGGGAACATGGTGGGTGTTGGGGCATGAGCGTGCAGAGGGGTGCAGGCACGTTATGACTGGGTGTCACATCTCTGTGAGCTCATCTCTCCATGCAGATGCCTCAACATCTCAGTTTGAGAAGGATCAGCTCTCTCCATCCTTTTATTGTCTGTTATGGGGAGCATGGGGAGGAGGTGTCCTGCATGGTGCCAAGCAGAGCGCCTGGACTCTGGGATGGAGGTGGGAACCCCTGTCCCTAACAAGTACTGCTGGAAGCCTGCACTATCCCCACGGATTGCTAAGGTTTGTGCTGCCTGGATTAATGCCAGTTCACTAACTGCAGACTAACGTATTAAATGGAAACTATTAAAGAAATCTATTTTAAAGAACCAAGTGGAGATGTCTTTCTTTGCAGGACTGCAGTTGGGGTTTTCATGTGCTCCCCAGGAATAACGGTTTTGGTGAGGCTGCCCAGGGCAGTGGTGAAATCACTCTTCTGGAAACGTTCACACCCCGTGTAGCCGGGGCCCTCAGTGCCATGGGTTAGTGGTGGCCTTGGCAGTGTTCATTCTGTGTTCTGCCTGACACCCTCACCCCCCCCACCCTGCCTCAGCTCTGGTCCCTGCTGCTGAGAGGGCTGAAGTGGACTGGTGGGAGGGATGAGGACAGGGCTCTTCTCCCAAACCCCACCACAAGCCTGGAGCAAGCCAAGATGCAGAGCTGGGAGTCCTGTCCCTACCTCCTGCCTGGCTGTGCAGGGCACCCCCAGAGCCCCCAGCTTGCCCTCCACAGCAGCAGAGGCCAGGGCCCCGGTTACCGTGTGACAGACACAAGGGAGCACGTCCTGGCACATCTACGTTTATTCACACAGTGCAAAGCTGGCAGCAGCCGTTCAGCTCCAACCTACAGCGGGCAGCGGGGCAGGGCAGGCACCGGTGCCTGCTACTCGTGCTGGGGAAGAACCACAGCAAAGCTTTGGTGAGAGCCCGGACGTGGTGCGGGGCAAGACAGGGCCATGGGCTGTGCTGCACGGGTGCTGCAGCCCTGTCCCCATGCTGGTGGCCTTACCTTGGAGGCGATGACCTCCCTGGTGCGGGCGCGCAGTTTGTTGACCTGCGTCTCGGCGATGTCCGCCCGCTCCTCGGCATCGTCCAGCTCGTGCTGCACCTTGCGGTACTTCACCAGGTTGGAGTTGGCCTGCTGCTCCTGCATGGGGGGGTATGGGCACCGCATCAGCCTCATGGCCCCCCCTCCATCCTGCAGCCATCTCGGGGTGCTCTGCCCCAGGACAGCAGCAGCGGTGGGGACCGGCACTTACCGCCTCCTCGAACTGGCGCTTGTAGCTCTTGACCTTGCTCTGCAGCTTGTCAATGAGGTCCTGCATCCGTGCCAGGTTCTTCCGGTCTTCCTCAGCCTGCAAGTGCCCCAGCTCTGTTAGCAGGACCCAAAACCAACCCCAACTCGGGGTCCAGCGGCCCCACACCTTCAGCCAACAGTCCCAGTGGTTCCAGGGCCCCTCACACACACACACACAGAGCACCAGGGTCTGTTCCCCATTTGCCATGTGTGTGTATGTCCAGACCCCTTTGTGCTTCAGCACCCAGCTCAGGAGGTGCTGGCCCATGGGCAGGGGGTGGTTGCTGTGGCCACAGCCTGTCCTGCCCCTTTGCCCTGCACAGAGCCCAGGACAAGGTGGGGACTGGGGTAACGGCAGAGGCTGAGCACAGGGAGTGTTGAGCTGGGTCCTGCAGGCTGGAGCTGGGACCGGTGCTGCTGTACCTGGTAGCTCAGCTCCTTGATCCTCCGCTCGTACTTGCGGATGCCCTTCTGGGCCTCAGCCATCTTCTTCTGCTCTGTATCCAGCTCTCCCTCCAGCTCCCGCACCTGCAGGCGGATAGAGGCCAGCTCAGCCCCAGCCCCAGATGAGGCCAAGACACCTTCCCAGTTCAGAGAAGCCACAGCTGAGACTAAACCACCCCTAGGAAAGGCTTTCAGGTCCTCAGGGACCATCCCTCACTGCCCATGGATCCCATGTGTACAGCCTGGCTCCAGGATGAAGCAGTGCTGGGGCCCTGCAGAGCCTGATGCACCATGAGGGGTCTGCCCCTGCCTTCTCACCCTGGCCTCCAGCTTCTGGATCTGCTTCTTGCCCCCCTTGAGAGCAATCTGCTCTGCTTCATCCAGGCGCATCTGCAGGTCCTTGATGGTCTGCTCCATGTTCTTCTTCATCCGCTCGAGGTGCGCGCTCGTGTCCTGCTCCTTCTTCAGCTCCTCTGCCATCATGGCAGCCTGCAAGGCCAAGAGGCATCACCACAAGCCCAGGCAGCCCTGGGGGCTCAATGAAGACGTTCTGAGACCTTCCCCTCTCCTGCCACCCGCCAGCCCCACCGCTCTTACATCTGTGATGGCCTTCTTTGCCTTGTCCTCAGCATTGCGGCACTCCTGCACTGCGTCCTCCACCTCACTGCTCAGCTGCGAGATGTCTGCTTCCAGCTTCTTCTTCTGGTTGATCAGGCCCGTGTTCTGCAGGCAGAGCAGGCTCAGTTCACCACGGCCCTGTTCCAGTGCCAGCAGAGACGCAGGACCCGTTGGTCCCTCACCTGGGAATGGAGCAGGTTGACCCTCTCAGTGGCCTCCAGCAGCTCCTGCTCCGCCAGCTTCCTGCTCCGCTCCGCCTGCTCCAGTGCCGCCCGCAGCTCCTCCACCTCGGCCAGCAGCAAGTTGTTGCGGCGCTCCAGGGCGGCCGCCTGCTCCTTCAGGTCATCGTTGTGGCGCTGGGTGTCATCCAGCTCGATCTGCAGGTCCTGCAGGGCACCGCGGGCTCAGCGGGCGCGGGGCTGGCAGCAGGGACAGCCCCGAGCTGGTCCCACCACCATCACCCAACCTTGATCTGGGCCTGGAGCTGCCGGACCAGCTTCTGGAACTCGGCGGCCTGGCGGTTGGCGTGGCTTAGCTGGATCTCCATCTCGTTCAGGTCTCCCTCCATCTTCTTCCTCAGCCGCACTGCCTCGTTCTTGGCCCGTGCCTCTGCATCCAGCGTGGCCTGCATGGAGTCCATGGCGCGCTGGTGGTTGCGCCTGCGGGAGATGATGCATCAGCCCCATCCCTGACAGAGCCAGGGCCACGGAGCCAGCGATGGCCCAGCCCGGCCCCTCTGCACACACCTCAGGTTCTCAAACTCCTCGTCCTTCTCCGCCAGCTTCCTGTCCACATCAGCCTTGATCTGGTT